CATTCTCATGCAGCCATTCTTCTTGGATTTCGTAGATTTCGGGATTGACTACAACTTTTGAGTAGTCGTACCCGATTTCCACACTCTCCGGAGATAAATCCTCTGGCAGAATGCCTTCATAGTACCAATCCGAGAATACGGTTTTCACTTTGTCTTTTTCTACCCCTGACACACTGGTAGGTCAAGAGAGAGTGGAAGGCCAACGCAAAAGGATAACAAAAGGGTTAAATACAACAAGCACCGTGAATCTAAGAACCTATAACTCTATATATAGTCTAGGGTCAAATCCTATGCTATGCCTCCATAAATAGGGATAGGGGTAAGGGTGTTCGTTTTTTACCCACGCCACCAGGGGCCGACGGATGGATGGATGCGAGGCATCAGCACCCTCACCCTCCTGTCAGGGAGTGTCTTCCTTTTCGTGATAATCAACACCATCCTCCCCTGAGCTCTGCCAGGTCCCCTTCCATAGCTTGGATCCTTCTCGTGCAGATTCACCTCATATCCACACCTTAGTCAACTCATCGATTTCTCAAGTTCCTCTCCTCTCCCGTAGGATCCCTTGCCATGGGGTACAGAGAGCCCATGGTCATTCCTCCCGAAGTAACCATCTCGGGAGCAAGAGGGAGACAGGTTCGCCTTGTATCCTTCTTCACGCAAGCACCATGTTTCGACTGCTACTCCTCAGTTCGACCATCGCTCATCACGTAGCAGGGAGCGAGAAGCCACAGGCTCTAATGCCTAACCCTAATCTGTGTTAGCGCTAGCGCTACCAGATTAGCGCCCTTTTTATGCTCAACTTTCGAAGGTCCTGGATGCCTCCCTTGAAATTCCCGCCGCTGCAGGCGGGAGCTCTAGAAATGTCAAGAGTGCCACGGGAGAGGAGGTTCTGACAACTCAAGAAATGCATTTTCGTGAGTGTGTTTCACAAGGTAGTGGAGGGACAACGAATTCTCGCCGTTTTCGTGAGTAGATACTGACAGCTCAAGAACCCGAATTCCAGACCTGGCCTCTAGAGTAAGTGAGCGGTGCCACGCTCAAGAAATGGCCGGTTTCTAGAGTAGTGGAGCGAGACCCATATGCTGTGGGTTTGAGTACAGGTCTGTAGCTCGGCAGTTACGGGTCACCAATTCAGCTAGACCCTGTCCGTGTCTCCACTTGATTCTAAGGGCATACTGACACTAGGACCTTTTTGCTTATTTTATGGACGTGATTCCGGTCAGATGCATCCAGGCCTGGCCGTAATTGCAGTCAGATGCATTTTGAACAGTGCTAGTGTGAGTATGCCCTAAGGGAGTCCATCCACCACTCACCAAATGTATCACATTAGAATGAATCTTCTGCTAAAACACGGAACCATACACCGCCATATGCTATGTCGTTTGTGCATGTGGTGAGTAGTGGAGCGAGGCCCCTCGGGCCACTGTAGGTATTCATAAGAAGACAAAAGTAAGAAGACAAAAGAAATAACCGAGAGAACTACAGGCATCTTCATCCTAACCCAGAACTGCCAACATGCAGGCCTGAATGCCAATTTTCAGCATGTATTGGTGGTCAGCCTTCCCAAATGTAACCCGTGACTTCTGCAAAGCACTGTGGGGCAGGTTGCTATTGGGTATTCATGCCCTTCTGGCGAATTGTTCACACCTCTGTGTGGGATTTGCAGAAGGGAGGGTGAAGGTCAGTTTCCACACCCCGCCTGAAAAAAAAAACTGGAATGAGCCCTATTTTCAGGGTCGGCCATTTCAATTTTTTTGGGGGAGGGGCCTGCGGAATTCGAATTTGGCAGCCCTTGCCCAAAAATAATTTTCGGGCCCAGGGCGCGGCCAGTTTCCGAACTCGCGCGGCGAGTTGAACATTTCTGCCGGGGGAAATTACAAAACCCCTAGTTCTTTTCTTCTTTGGCGGCGAGTTGAACATTTCTGCCGGGGGGGTTCTAAGAAATTACGAAACCCCTAGTTCTTTTTTTCTTTGGGACCTTAATTTTTGCGGTGCGGTGCGCAACGTATGTGCGAATCCGTGCACCGAGGTGCGCCGAAACTATGCTGTAAAGTAGTATTTATTAAAGAATACAGAAAGATAAGAACACTGGCTTTTTTAAAGTTTTTTTAGATTTTCCCCATGATTGCAATGCAACAGGACTGCACCATTGCAGAACGAAACTTACCAAGAACTGAGAGGTTTCAAAGGCTTTTGGGCAGATACTGCACTTGTGCACCTGGTTCTGAACAGTATGACAATTCAAGCAGAACATCCACCATTCGCCATCCAACGGTTGCCAGCATTTAGGCAGCAGCTATCACGTGAGGATGCCTACAGTCTTCCCCCGAATACAACGTACGGTCATCATAGCTGAATTTGGTGTATCTTTCAGTCTACATTCAGGTATAATGACCGTACGTTGTATTCGGGGGAAGATTGTAGTATCCAGAGTGCAACAAAGAGGGGACGTTCTGCTATACCTTGACCAGCATTACCTAAGTAATTTCATAAGCATCCAAGGGTTTATCTATCTCTTGCACCTCGTGACTGTTTGTTCAGGTGCTGTGTAGGTCTGTTCAACATCATTGTGACATTTTAGACAGCGCTTACCCAGTTAAAAATTTCAGTCCATTTTGAACAAGGTGTGTCCGTTTTGAACAAAATTTTAGGCACCACACTGGCCATCCTTGCCTCCTTATCAGAACTTCATCATGCACCGTTCTTATGGGAAGTTGCTTGAATTTGGCACCATTTGGATAAGGCTTACCAAATGTGCCCGAAGCTCACAGTCCCCTTACATTCTCATCCTCCCACTCTGTTAGCTTATTTTGGGTGGTTCCTGTTTATTTGAAGTCCAACGTGTGAAAAGTGTGAACTGTTTACAGTCTAAAGCTAAGCTGTTAACCATACATGGGGCGCCTCGCATGTGCAACAGGCACCCCTGCGCTGTATTGTGCAAAGCCCTCTATGTGGGCGCATGCCGTGCGCCCTACCCTGAATTTGTGGGGTCGGGGACGGAGGCCCGACTTTTTTGGAAGGGGGTTTGAATTTTCAGCAGAAAATAAAAAATGAAAAAAATTGGGGGGGAAATTAGCCTTTATGTTTTGAATCGCTTTCTTCACAAAAATGCATCCTTCGTGGGTATGGGTGAGGATATTCCCACCTAAATTCATCGCCAGCAGGGGGCAGCGGGAGCAGCAGCACCGCGCACCTCGGGGAGCAGCAGAAATAAGCGGGCAACAGGAGCCAGCACGAGCACGCGGCGTCGGAGGGCGTCGAGTTGGGTTTCCACCAGCCTCTCTCTCTCTCTCTCTCTCTCTCTCTCTCTCTCTCTCTCTCTGTGTGTGTGTGTGTGTGTGTGTGCGTGTGTGTGCGTGTGTGTGTCTCTCTCTCCCTCTCTCACCTTCTTCCTCGTCCCTCCTCGCAGCTCATTCCTCCTACCGCCGGCATTCCTCTCTCTCCCACCTTGTTCCTCCCTCGGACTTCCGCGGCCATCCCCATACCACCATCACGTTCCTCCTCCGGCCGGCCTTCCTCTCTCTCCCACGGTTACCTCGTTCCTCCTCCTGCCGGCCTTCCTCTCTCTCCCACCGCGTTCCTCCCTCGGCATTCCTTGGCCATCACCATACCACCATCGCATTCCTCCTCCCACCTCGTTCCTCCTCCCGCTGGCCGTCCTCTCTCCCACCCCGTTCCCCCCTCAGCCTTCCTTGGCCTTCCTCCCCGTCATTGACCCCCCCCCTTCCTTTGCCAGCCATCCCATACCAGGGTACCGCATTCTTCCTCATCCCTGTTCCTACCTCCTTCCTCCTCCCGCTGGCCTTCATCTCCGACCATTCCGTCTCTTACCCGCCCACTCCTTCCTCCGCCGTCCCCCTACCACTCTCGTGCCTTCTTCCTCGTCCCTCCTCCCACATCGTTCCTCCTCCCGTCGGTCTCCTCGCACCTCGTCTCCACTGGCTCCTCTCTCTCTCTCTCTCTCTCTCTCTCTCTCTCTCTCTCTCTCTCTCTCTCTCTTTTTTCTTTTGTGTGTGTGTGTCCTCCATCGTCGCACCTCGTCCAACCTCCCTCCTCGTCCCTTCGTCGCTCCCCCTCCTCAAACCTCCCTCGTCGTCCCTCCGGCCATCATCGACTAACCTCCCGTCTTCTTCCTGGTCCCTCCACCCGCCTCCTTCCAGCTCCCTCGGCCTTCCTCGGTCTTTGTCCCCGTGACCGGCCCTCCCCTTCCTTCCTCGGCCATCCCCATGCCACCATCGCGCGTTCTTCCTCATCCCTATTCCCACGTCCTTCCTCCTCCCGCCGTCCTTACCATCGTCGATCCTCTCGTCTTCCACCTCTACCCCTCCTTCCTCGGCCATCTCCATATCACTCTCGCACCTCCTTCCTCGTCCTTTCCCCACGACGTTCTTCCTCCCGGCAGCCTTGGTCGCCGATCCTCCAACCCCCTGTACTTCCTTGGCCATTTTCCATCTTCCACCCCCCTGTACTTCCTCGGCCATCTCCTATCTTGACTGGTTGGAGTCGTTTCCCATCTCCCATCTCCCATCTCCCATCTCCTAAATTCGGCGGGGTATGGAAGCATTGGATACCAATTTTGACAGGTTTGAGTCGTTTCCTTGGCCAGGAGTAAAGGGGTC